ATAAAACGTTGAATAGTAAAAATGATGTGTTTCGAGTATCTGAATATCAATATCTGAAATAGAGAAAAGGGGGAAAGCACGTTTCTAATAAAGCACAATATCCGGGGAAGCCCTGAATTGGGATCTCGGCCACAACTCCGAGGGCGGGGGATCGAAGGAATACCGACTCCCTCTGAGGAATTCAATATATATATATATTTCTCGGTTATATCATACTCTGAAGGGATCATCTCCGAATTTCTTGAGAAGTTCTCTCCATATTTGACCCAATAACCGCGGTCGATGAGGGGCTTATTCCGGGAATCAGTCTCCGAACTAGATCTCATGTTCGGTCTGGCTCCTACAGAAGTAAGCAAAGGCTTTCTTGGGCACAACCTATCTTTAAGCATATAAAATGTGGTTATTCACAGCATGCTTGAAGAATACTTAGCTAGCAGATTGAGAAAAGTGGGTTTGAGACAACAAAACGAGATGTCTGTTTGATAGTCTTTTCAACGTATAACCTTTGACTGCAGAAAGAACCAACCGTGGGAAGATCATTTAAAGCCCAATTCAAATAAAGTTGAAACCTGCAGTAATTTTTCTTATCTAGTTTTCTGATGCCAGTTTAGCAGAAAAGAACTAGAGCGCGTCAAGATGGGAGATTCGATGCCCATCGTGCGCCGAAATCTCGCCATATTCACCATTTCAATATTGATGATGTCTATCTCTATTGTGACGGTTCCATTGCAAAGATTTGTGCGACTGGATACCCTCCGCACCTTTCTGGGATGATGCTTTGATGGTTGCTGCTTAGGTATAACGGCCCTATATTATGTGACGTGGTCTGATAGAGAATCCTAATCTTCTATAGACCCTTTTAGTATACTTCGATACCTGCTCCATAATTCGAGTAATGAGTGGGGCCAGATACATGCATACAGACTTTATAAGCATGGAGATCTATAAAAGAATACGAGTACTTGTGGTATGTAATGTTTATAGAAGATTCCCTGCTCGTGGCTAAATATTTCCTATAGTTATGATGGCTGGCTGGCTCTATATATATGACTCAGCAGTTGCTGAGGTATCAATTGCTGTTGCGCTCCACCGGTTGGCTGTCAAAAATCTTACCGAGTAATACTTTGGAGCATTATTGCTGTCGGACTCATGCCCTGGCTTGTGCTACCCTTCGCCTATTACCCGCCTCACTCGTCTGGAAACTGCAAATGAATAGCCGGACAAAGTTTACAATAGAAGGAATCCACGGGCTAGGGCGAATATACGTGATATCTTGGCCAACTGGCCACTTTGGAGTTGAATCCATTGCTAACTATAAACAGTACCAGTGTGGCAGTATAATGCTGATTTCCAGTTCCCCGATTCTATGGCGATGATAATTTCCTTTGTATGCTGGCCGTAAAGCCTGTCATTGAGATCGGCCTCGGCATTACAGCAGGCAGGAGAAATGATCACAGAATTAGCAACAGCAGCCAAGAAGCCTTAAACCCCGCGGAAATCTCACTAAATTAGGTCACGATACAGAAAACCTTTGTACAGCCAGCGACAGAAGGGAAGAAATAGATATCTTTTTCTTATGTTTGACAACCTCGAAAGAATGATTGGTTTAATTTAGAGGTTTAGCGCATTTATAAGCTCCATAGCCCTGTCACCGGGGTTCAGCTCCACCCCTTTCCCTCCCGCTAGATTAGGCTGATCCACATAGTCATCCCGACTTTTGGCAGCGGCATGGACCTCGAAAAATCAGCACATATACTCCGTATTCCTATCAGTAATACGGTAACTCCGGGGAATGCTTACAGCTGAGCCACCCTGTCGTCTATCTTTACATGCTGACCATAAGGCTGGGCATGTGGGCGGGGCGAAGCTGAGGCCATATGGTGACTATTGGCTTGGCAAGAGGCTATGGCAAGCTGATCTCATGTAGTGTTTTGAACCCCTGTGGGAGCTGAAGAGAACACGAACAATGGGACGCCTGGGGGACTCGAACTGGGTTAGACTGCCGATCATGGCGTCAGGGTTCGTATACTAGCGGGAGGCCTCATGCAGGTAAACAAAGCAGATGATCCAAAGCGACCTCGAGACGAACTCTTATTCGTGCAACAACGCTAATACAAACCCGGAAAAGGGTGTAGATGAAAAAAATATATATATTATATGGAGTCGTATCCACCTACTAAATCTGATCAAATCCTCCCCAACAGCACAGCAAACTTCCATTGTACATACAAGATGTCTCTATGCGCCGAGATTCATGAACCACAACCCAGAGTCCGACAGAGAAGAGACTCAAAATCGCAACCCATCCGCAAACGAATTATCATCTGCTGCGACGGGACATGGCAATCCGCCGTGTCAGGAAAGAAAAACGTCCCGTCTAATGTGACGCGTCTCTGTCGCGCCCTGAACAGTGTTGGAACAGACGAACACGGGAATCAATGGCAGCAAATAGTCTGGTATGACTCCGGAATTGGCACGACCTCAGGTCCTTTGGGCCAAAAGATTGAAGGCGCCATTGGCTTAGGCCTGGAAGGAAATGTCATCGAAGCGTATAATTTCTGTGTCCTGAACTACAGGCCCGGGGATCAGATTATGTGTTTTGGGTTCTCGAGGGGTGCGTTCACAGCCCGGGCCATTGCAGGTTTGATTTCGGATATTGGTATTTGCAGTAAACAGGATTTGAACCGGTTTCCCGATCTCTGGAAGGTTTATAAGAAAAATAAGCCCGGCGAGCGGTTCTATTGCAGTGATCTCTGGTTTGAGTGGATGGATGGGAAGGCGGACGAGAACCAGGGCGCGCGGGGTGAGACTTTCGTATTTGAAAAGCGCCCTGAGGGTGACTGGGCCCAGGAGGGGTCAAGAGATGTGGAAGTTGTTGGTGTCTATGATACAGTCGGCGCTATTGGAATGCCGGAGGTGCTGGGGGTCAAGCTGCCATCTTGGTTCTTGTGGTGGTCGGAAAAGAGTGGATGGGAAAATGTTGGACTTTCGCCTAGTGAGTATACTAACACCTCTCTTTGTGGTTTTATGGTAGACAGAATACTGAGAGACGCTCCCCTAGATGTCAAACATGCATTCCAGGCTTTGGCTCTCGATGAACACCGTAACGCCTTCTCACCTACTCTATGGTATCTCCACAAACTTGGAAACGTCACTTCAGAGCAGATACAAACCCAGAGGAAGATGGTCGACCAGCAAGCTCAAAAATGGGATGACCTTTTGCAAGAGGCAATCCGCCTCAAGGGTAGCGGTAAAGCTAGCGACGCAGACGTCAACAATGCAGCTCGAAAGCTAAACCAGGCCGCCAGAGCCTTGAACCAGGAGAGCCGGACGCTCCTCAAGTTGGAAGACGATAACAAGCACCAGAGCAACCCCCGCACATTGAAACAAGTGTGGTTCCCCGGATATCATATTAATATCGGTGGAGGCTCGGGGGATACCCTTAAAGATGAGGGGGACATGGAAGAAATGTCTAATATCACCTTCTCTTGGATGCTGGACCAAATCAAACCTTACCTGTCCATTAACGAGGAGTCTATCTTTGAAGAAAGAGAAGAGATGGAATATCACATTTCAACGCTTGTCGAAGACACAGTCCGTGAGGTGTCCTTGGGAAGTTGGGCCCAACGAAAGCTCGCAGCAATAGCCTCGGCTTTCAGACTCAAACGTTCCCCCAGCCCCAAGTCTTCCATTAAGTCTGTGGACAAGCAACAACGCAGCTATGGTTGGGGAACAGGCCCACTGAAAGACAGCTTCACGGCATTTTACTTTGCCAACGGGTCAGAGAGGCGCACGCCTGGACGCTATGATCCTTTCGACAAAGATGGAAATCTGCTGGGAGAGACGTTTGAATTTGTTCATCCAGTGGTAGGATTTAGGGAGAAGCAGATCAAGGACTACACGCCGATTGGGCGTGATGTCAAGTTTACCCGTCGGAAGGCAGTTGATGAGAAGGGCCGTCCTGGTTATGTCTATGATCTTGGAGATTGTCGCAAGCCCTTACCTGAGTGGCGCTTAGGAGGACTTGACTCTTATGAGAGGCTGGCCATCACTGGAAAGGCTGCATATGACTATGTCGACGAACTAGATCTCTATTTGAAGACTGGGATCAAGACACCCCGTCGGTCTGTTTGGGGAGTTCAAGATATTGACCCCGGGATTGAAGTGCTCAAAGCTGGGGGCTTGCGACCTGGGGATCTCAAATCGGAGCAATATAAACGGGCGGATCTCCAATCTATGAGCTTTGGAACCAAGGTGATGCAGTTGAACAGCTCAGATGTTTCATATGCTGGGGAGACAGTAAGTTCGACGTGATTGCATTTGCTTTCAACACTGGATTGAAATAGGGGGTTTTGGATTGGGCATGGCTTTATGTATATTGTTTAATCTCTTTAAAACTAATCACAAACATCTTAAGTGGCACCCTTAGGTTATGTGTTGTGTTTGGTGCCTGAATGGTGTTTGATATTCCCGGGACATAATAGGGGCAACGATAGATAGCAGCGAAAGAGGTCAGGCTGGGGATTGTACAATCTCCACATCGCATATAGATGAAGCCCCTTTTCTAATTCCAACAAGAAGAGAAAAGAAGAAAAGAAAAAACAAGCAATGTATAGTGGGGACATGGAGCATCCGACGTCATAGGGCTGAACTAGTCTTCCAAGCTAAGACCTTGCCCAAGTGGACATTTAATTTGTACGAAGTAGCTTAGACCAAAACATTTTAGGCATCACAATTGTTCGACTCCATTTGGATCCATTTGAATCCATTTGTCTCTTCCAAAAAAAAAAATACTTCAAGCCTCTCAAAAGCCTTCCATCTCAGGGCCAAGTGCCCTACGTCATCCCATGGACGGTATCTTCCACCCGTGGAACTTGACTGGAACAATATTGAACTGTTTTGCATTGGTCAAGTTACTTGCTGCCACTTGTTCCTTTTTTGTTGTGGGAATCATTTTAATCATTCGACAACCTCCGAGTCCCAATCGAGTTCGGTGCAAGATGGTACCACGCAAAGTGTACAATATGTGTCAAGGGCAGACAGTTACTTCAGAATTAGCCCTTGACCCATCGCAGTGTCCACAGAAAGTCTTTCATAAGTTGTTTGAGAGTCATCATGCGTCGCATACATATGACGGTGCGGAAGAATCAGATGTCAACAGAGCGTCCGAATGGGAATCGTTAAATGAGCTGCAGAAAGCTCGCACCTGCGGGAACTTTGGGTCTGTGGAAACGAGTGATCTATTTCTAAAGGTGAATTAATTTGGTTTATCGACATTGCGAGAGAAAGAAATCTAATACATGTCCACCAGGTTTATCATGACGCGTTATGTTGTTTAGAAAAGAACCCAATGTCAGGGGTTGTATCCCCCCAGCTGCTGGGGAGCACAGGAGTTCTACCACTGACAATTGTCGCCCCGTTACCTGATCTCTGCCGTCATTTAGCTAATTGCATTGTGCGCGCCGAACATGAAATCTTTTTGGGTACCAATTTCTGGATCCACTCGGACGCATCCACATTAGTGACGAATGCCATCCGCGAACTTTCCAAACGCGCAGGAGAAAGGGGACAGAAAATAGTTATGAAGATGATCTATGATCGCGGAGATCCTCGTCAGGTGAGTGCTCTTCTGATTGATCTATACCGAACGCAATCTGCAGACATGGATTCTAATGAACTACTAGGCATGGGACAATAGATTAAGTGTCCGCGAGGACCAATATGTCGGCGGAAAGGTGAAGTTACCTGCCGCGAGCGAGATACCCAATATCGAGCTCCAAGTCATCAATTTCCACAGACCTGTCTTTGGGACGTTCCATGCAAAATTCACTGTTATTGACCGGCGCATGGCTCTCATACAGAGCAGTAACATTCAAGACAACGACAATCTCGAGATGCTGTCTCATATCGAGGGCCCGATTGTTGATTCTTTCTATGATGCCGCCTTGCTATCGTGGGGAAAGGCTCTCGATCCTCCATTCCCACTTCTGAACTCTCCAGCGAAAGAGGCTCCGATACCATGTCACGAAGAAAGGAATGGTGGTATTTCTACGGAGAATGGAGATAAAGCTCTTCCTGAGCATACTACCAACTCTCCGCATTACGATAGGGACTTTGAACAAGAAGCCCGGAGAGTCAACGATTGTATTCATCCACAAGGCGATGAAACACGCACACAGGCTGTCAGCCGTCATCTCAGTATGTGAAATTTGTGCGATATTGATATTGATGATACCGCCTAACAATTGAGCAGATACAACTATTCAGCCTGACACCACAGGCGATGCGCCAGACAGCGACCAGGATAATACATTCAACCCTTATATGGTCCTACCTCGACACGAGCCATTCCCAATGGCATTGGTAAACAGAGAACCATTTGGATGTAAGTTCTAAAGCAAGAAGAGAAGCTCCCACCGAACATACTTCTAACTCTCATTTTCCTCAAGCCCCAAACCACAGCAGCATCCACACCCCGCAAAATGCGGCATGGCTATCCGCAATCAACAACGCCCAGCACTCAATCCTCATCCAGACACCAAACATGAACGCCGAGCCTCTAATGGAACCCCTCCTCAACGCCGTTCGCCGTGGTGTCGCGGTAGCCTGCTATCTCTGCCTTGGCTACAACGACGCAGGCGAGCTCCTCCCATTCCAAAACGGAACCAACGAAATGATCGCAAACAGACTGTACAACTCCCTCGAAACCGACGAAGAGAAATCCCGTCTACGGGTATGCTATTATGTCGGCAAGGATCAGACTCGTCCTATTCATAATAGCTTCAAGAAGCGGAGTTGCCATATTAAGTTGATGATTGTTGATGAGCAGATTGCGATTCAAGGTAAGTCACTAAGAAAAAGCACTACAACTAAAGAATTAGTATGTCTTATCCGAGTATCTAACATTGTCTACAGGCAATGGAAATCTCGACACGCAGTCATTTTTCCACAGTCAGGAAATCAATGTCCTTATTGATTCCGCGCTCGTTTGTCGTGCTTGGACGGAGTTGATCAATCGCAACCAGAATACTGCCAAATACGGGGCTGCAAGTACAATGGATGGCTGCTGGCATGATCCCGAGACTGGTGAGATTCCAGAGGGCTCAATGGGAGCTGTAAGGGGTCGGTTTAGTTGGGCTAAGGGAGCTGTTGGCGCTGTGCAGCGAGTGAGAGGTGTTGGTGGATTCTAGAAGCTCATTTGCTTATGTGCTTGGGGTTGCTTCTATCTTGAGGCATTTAGGTATAGAGAGACCGGAGAAATCATGCTCGGATATCTTTTGGAAATGAATGATCTATGAAGACATCCTCTTACGAGTACTGCGGGCTAAGGTGCTGGAATCCATGTCTAGGAGTAGCAGACCACTAAAATGTGCCAAAACAAAAGATCAACACTCGATATCAGCATTGAACAAGTCAGAAGGTCGTTTTGTGCGACCGGATGATTCCAGGAAACCCACCGAGGACTTCTACAACATGTACATGTACTTTGCACGAAATGTTACCAAACTCATGAGCTTCCATCATCTCCCAATTTTACAATAAACCAGTCACGCAGTCATTAAAAAATCGTCAAAACACCCATCCCTGAATAAATGTCTCGCCCATATGACCAACCAATAGTCGACATAGTAAACTATGTATACCACCACACCCTCAACGAAGACGACGAAGCGACTTGGAAATGCGCGCGAACAGCTCTATTAGACGCAATAGGTTGCGCCATCGAGACAGTAGCGACGAGCACCGAATGTCGAAAGCTACTCGGTCCCGTAATCGAGGGCACAGTCGTGCCGGATGGATTCAGGGTCCCGGGAACGGGGTTTCAGGTCGATCCCGTGAAAGGGGCTTTCGATCTAGGTGTTCTGATTCGGTATTTGGATCATAATGATGCGCTTGGTGGTGTGGAATGGGGACATCCTTCAGGTATGGTTTGTGGTAGACATGGGGAAGGAAGGGATTGTGTCCGTGGGACTAAGATTTGGATTTAATTACAGATAATCTCGGTGCCATACTCCCAGTCATGGATTGGCTGTCGCGTGCAAGTTTGTCTGGCCGACGGTTTCATGCCGGTCCACCATTGACGATGCAGACGCTGCTTATTGCGCTGGTCAAGGCGTATGAGATACAGGGGTGTTATCAAATGCGGAATGCGTTTAATGCATATGGAATCGATCATGTGGTTCTGGTAAAATTGGCCTCTGCTTCTGTTGTCTGTTGGCTGCTTGGAATGACAGAATTACAAGCCATGGCGACTATTTCTCATGTTTGGATGGATGGCCATCCGAACCGGGTCTATCGATCCGGTGCAAATACTATCCCGAGGAAAGGCTGGGCAGCAGGCGATGCAGCAAGAAGAGCTGTGCAGCTGGCTCTACTGGTGCAGGATGGCCAGCCTGGTTCGGCAGGGGCGTTGAGCGCGAACCCATGGGGGTTTTGGGAGCGGACTTTTGGCGAGGCGGGATTTGTACTTCCTCAACCATTTGGGTCGTGGACGGTACAGAATGTGCTTTTCAAAAGTATACCTGTGGAAGGGCATGCGATTTCGGCCGTGGAGGCAGCCGTTTTGCAAGCGCGTCGATTTCAACAGAGGGGGCTGTCCGATCCTCTTAAACAGATCCAGCGAATAGATCTGCGAACGACTGCTGCTGCCTTTTTGATCATCAACAAACAAGGGCTGTTGTACAACGCTGCTGATCGTGACCACTGCATTCAGTATGTGGTTGCCCTGGCTTTCTTGAAAGGTAGTCCGCCAGAGGCGGTGGACTATTTAGACAAAAGCCCATGGGCGAATAGTGAAGAGCTTGAAGCCCTGCGAGGAAGGATCGTGGTGCAGTCCGACCCTGGGCTCACAGAAGACTACCTGGATCTGGACAAGAAAAGTATTGGTGCAGGGATGACAGTCCATCTGGCAAATGGGTCCTCGCTGCCTGAAATACTGATCGAGTATCCTGTAGGACATGCACGGAATCCGAAAACACCAGCTGCGATACAAGAGAAGTTTTTCCAAAATATGGGGCTTATGTTCTCTGCGACAGAGATCGGTCGGATATTGGGAGCTGCCCAAAATCTAGATACTTTGATCTCGGATTTCATAGATCTGTTTATCCAGCCATCAGCCAGGGCAGTGTTGTAGAAATCTATCTGCAGGTACCATGAGTGGGTTGTACTAGCCAGAAAAAAAGATCTTGTTCAGGGTATCTAGTGCTGTCTTTTTCTTTGGCTTTTCTTAATCGATTCTCCCAACTCCCTGCAGCGTCAAATAAACATCTGTCCCCCATCCCCACAGACTTTGCACCGCAATGCTACCACCAAAGTACTCAGCGTAGGCTCTACCCAGAGGCAGCCCATAACCAAGACCTGCAATACTGCTGAGCTGGCCACCGCTAGCAGAGATGGTGTTCAAGGCATCCATATTTCCGTTCTCCGAGCCCTGGGGGTCCAAATCGGAGAAAGTCGTAAAACTATACGACCAAATATGGGGAAGAACCTCAGGCGGAATACCACCACCACGGTCACGGATACGGATAGTGATACTCTGAGACGACGGGGCCGAGTACCCAATGGTTTCATTTTCATTGGCGCCGGCAAGCTCCGAATCGAACTCAAATTCAGCATCAGCGTCGCCCGGAACCGGCGACGCCTTTCCGGGCACATCTGGAGCAGCAGCAATCGTCACCTCGATAGGCTCACGCTCATTTCCATTTTCAATAGTTGCCCGGAATGCGTTCTTCAACAGCTCCGTGATTATGTACTCCACGTGTACGGGGATGTGAGCAAAAGTGGCCTCAGGCTCACCTCCAATATTCAAACGCGGTCGCACTCCGTACTTAAGCTCACAGATTTCTCCAACGAAATCCTCGCATAGCCGGATGATGCGTGCCGGCTGCAAAGCGGTGTCAATGACGCCAATATAGTTTGATGGAATCGAGCTCTTGGGCGCAGGTGCATCAGCGACATCGGATGGGTTATCGCTAAGGGGCTGAGAGGCATAATGAAGAGCTAGATGCTGCTCCGCGATTAAGCGCGTACCGATACGCGCCCGTAGATGCGTGTCTAAGAAGCTCGTCACGTCGGCCGGGCTGACATATTTCTTGCACTCCAAGAACCCACGTGCGAGGACGGGGATTGTATTTGTATGCGTGTGTACGAGGTCTGCCAGTACATCTCCGAACTGTTTCTCTTCTTCGAGGGTTGTGATGCGGCGCTGTTGATATGGTATGAGGGTCGATAGGGAATGGAGGTAATTGTGGTAAATCTTAGAGACATGGGGGTTTGAGACGACAATGAAAGGGAGGTTTCGTAATGCTTGGATCCGAGAAGCTAGTCGGGCGGGGAGGAGGGATAGAGTGAAGTTGGCAGAGGCTAAAAGAGCCTCTTTGTTCAATGGTGGGCGGCCGTGTCTGAGGGAGTGATATGAATTTAGCACATTTTGGTTCCAATTTGGTGTAAGTTATCATATATAAGACTGACTTTAGTAGATCTGCAAGTGTCAATGGCCGACGGGGACTCGCAGCCAGCTGCGCAACATTGTCTTTGGCGACATCAAATGGGCGACCAGCCCAGTTTTGACTCTGTGTGGACGATTGACGATAAATGCGAGGTCGCACAATCGGAAGGCCTCGGCAGCCAGGCCGAAAAGGCATAGCTCTAGGTATTGAGGTTGTCATTGTGAATTGTAGATTGTAGCCATGAGATAGAGCGAGCATAAGTGGAAGTTCACAGTGAAACTCCGGGACGGAAGATCTGCATCGGCGGTGCGGATATCATCGGTCCAATGTTGTAGATCAACAGGGATCAAATCTCCCAAGGTTGCTACATATTTCACCATTGATAGGTGTGTTTGCGTGAATTTCTACGTTTGGATGTTGCACAGAGCTCACTCCAATTCCAATCCATACACACTATGCACATCACTCAACCTGATAGTTGGATTCTGGAAAATTGCTCCATCTGTATGAATGCCTGTACCTTGCGCATTTGGAAAAGGCCGGTACTCATAAGATGTACATGACATCTCGGATGAAATCAGGTTGCATAATTGGTATCAAGTCATCTCGCTGAAGCAAAGCACACAAAAAAATTGAAAAGAAAAAAACCCCGGTATCCAGCTTTCATGTTTCGGGTCGGTCATAAAACAGAACATCCACAGCGACTACAGCCTTCAGCCCTAGTCAAGATGAATAGTTTCATCTACTTTGTAGTTACGCCACCATCCTGCTCAACATGGACATGTTCGGTAGATTCGAAGGTTTGGACAGTGTTCTCGGGGAATTCGACACTAGTATTGATCCATATATCAGCATGCGCCGATGGCACAGATCAAACCGGCACCACTTACGTGAAGCCTTTGATGATGCTGTATTCATGTTTGATGACGCCGCCCTTCTCCCTAGCTGTTTCCTTGGCCCTGAGAATATATGTTAGTACCAAGCCCTGGAGGTATTCGAGATAATGGTAATGCGACACACTTTTCCAGCTCCTCGACGGGAGCGTCAGCCTTCAGGGTGATCTAGAGAGATGTTAGTCCGGATATTTTTTGAAGATAAAGCCGAGCTCACGTTGTAAAGAGGCATGATGTCAGATGGCAAAATATGTGTGATCGTACAAAGCGTGAAGGGGGGAAATGGTAAGTAGAAAGAAAGAATTTATAGGGAAAAAAGAGAGAGGGGGGGGAAAGGCTACACTTTATTTTTTTTTGGAAGGTGCCCAGATGCCTTGAAGCAGGTACCTTCCAATCAGCCGCTCTTTTTCTTTCACCCGCTTCACCTTCTGTCACCTCACTATCCCCCAGAGCTGGATACTTTCAAGGCTGGGTACCGCCCGTGCTACTTGGCGTGATCTATTGCCTAGGTGATCTTACATGCTTGTTCTGACATGGGCCTGGCAGTGGCTTCTACACCTTACTTTTCGAAAGCAGGGTTTCTACTGCATCCCTTACTTAAATGACTCTATAATCTCCCATATAATTCCAATCCGGCCTATAATGTACAACGTATGTTGTAAAGGAGGGGGAATTGCTGTTGATGTAACGATACAAGGCAATGACATCATATTTAAGAAAACGCGGGGCAATATGTCTTGCATGGAGATACCTAGGCATTCAACGCTTCAACCTTGGAATAGACGACTCTATAATTTTTTATTTGATGTATTTACCCTAAAGTCCAATGTAGCCATCCTCTTCGCGGGGAGGCATCTTCATCCCATGCATTCCCTTGTACTGGGGACTTTCTGGAGCCTTCCACCCCTCCAGGACCTTATCATCTGTCAGTTGATATACCTCCACACCCAACGGACGACAAGTGGCTCCCATGTCAGCTTCCTTATCATCCCAACCCCAATTGGACAAATCACCTGAGAGTATCATTAGCATATAAAAAAATGAGACATTTGTGTAGCGTGGTGCCATACCGCCAGGACACGCAGATAGCGCGCAGAGAACATCCACTTCCGCAAAGAACTCAAAGTACTCGCCCGCCTTTGCAGGGGAGGTCTCCATGAAGTACTTTCCATTCTCATCCAACCCCGTCACTTGAAACACATTCAAGACATCATGGACATCTAGCTCCGTCAGTCCATGAGGGACGACGGAGCGAGTCAGGTTCGAATGACAGTGGAAGTCAAAGGTCTCTCCGCCCATGAGCAAGTTCACGTAAGGATCGCAGCGAGTGCCCATCAAGTCATGCACTCGCCCTCCAAACTGCGTAGGCCCAAACACAACTTCCGGGTTGCGCTTTCCATCCGGTCCAAGCACGTCATGCAGCTGCCCACCGCCCAACGAGTCACCCGTGATTGTTACGAGGGGTCGCAGGTACGGCAGGTTCGACCAGAGTCGATCACCCACTGAGACGTGGGAGGCGTGGATCTGTCGGGTACGCGCAGCCCACATCCGTTCTCGGGGGTTATTTGCGTTCCAGATATTCAGGTCACCCACCTGTGGTCCCTTGGGCGTCGTCAGGCGGCAGATGTGGCCGGCAGGGACGACCCACGCTTGGGCAGAGCATGGTCTGATAGTGAATGATTCCTTCGGGATTCGTGCAGAGGGGCTGGATGCGGTTTCGGAGATTGAGCGGTACAACTGCGAAGTTGCATGAACCCCCGAATCGGGCGGTGCTGTGTAAGCTGGGGGTGGCTGGCGTGTAGACATTATATGTGGTTTGTGGGGTGGTATAAAAACTGGATGTTACACAAAGGTCTAGTAGACACGGAGGAAGATTAGATTCATAGAATTACGGGGGGAGTATAAAGTAAATTTATAGTTCGATATAGATAGTCGGAGGCTTCCCGATATCAATAGTGCCCCGCATGATAGCCACGAGGGGAAATTACATCCTCCAATTTCTAAAAGAGTCCCGCGTGGTGTAAGATAGCGCTAGCGTACGGAACCTTAGTACCGTAGACTGAAGGAAGGAGACAGCGGGGCCTCTGAGTCTCTGATGTTCTCATAGCTCGGGGTGGAGCCAACATTGAAATTACCGGGCCGGTATACGATAAGGATTTCTGCCTCAGGCCATATTTCGAAATACGGTGCTTATGCCTTAGGCCATAAAAAAATCTCCCCTGACTAAGGTTTATCTACTCCGCCTTGGCAGAAAAATAATTGCTGTTAATTTTTTGGCCGTCGGGGAAAGTCCTCTACCTCGATTGCGCTTGTCTTTCTTTACTCTTTGAATAAAGGAGTTGATCTGTCGAGGTATTATACCTCTTTACAGATAGTATGGAGCAACAGGCCAACAGGGCGCATCGCCCTGCCAAAGAAAAGAAGAAGTTTGAGGGTACGGCGAGACCGCTCCAATAAATCTGCAAATTCGAGCCCATGCTAATAATGATTTTTTCTTTATAGGTGCTAATCCGAAAGCATTCGTCACTTCCAGACCTGGAAAGCTCAATAAGCAGGCTGCGCGATCGCACGATGTATGTATATGGATTTTTTTCTGCTGGTCGATTGATGCTGACCCGTTCCTTTCTAGGTCAGAGAAAAGAGACTCCATGTCCCCCTCGTGGATCGTATGCCCGAGGAGGCCCCGCCAGTCGTTGTCGCCATCGTCGGACCCCCGGAGTTGGAAAGACAACTCTGCTCAAATCTCTGATTCGCCGTTACACCAAGCAAACCCTCAGCTCGCCGCAAGGCCCGTTGACTGTTGTTACGACCAAGCGCAAGCGTCTCACCTTCATCGAATGCCCGTCCGACTCTCTTGCAGCTGCGATTGATATTTCTAAGATCGCAGACATTGTGCTTCTCATGATTGACGGAAACTTTGGATTCGAGATGGAGACCATGGAGTTTTTGAACGCCTTATCGACGGCTGGTATGCCGGGTAACGTCTTCGGTATTCTTACTCATCTTGATCAATTCAAGAAGCACAGCACCTTGAAGGACGCGAAGAAGCGCCTGAAGCACCGTTTCTGGAGTGAGCTATACGCGGGCGCAAAGCTCTTTTACTTGTCCGGTGTCATCAACGGCCGTTACCCCGATCGTGAAGTGCACAACCTTTCAAGATTCCTGTCCGTTATGAAAAACCCTCGTCCTCTCGTGTGGCGCAACTCCCACCCTTACGCGCTTGCGGATCGCTTCTTGGATATTACACCGCCTACTCAGATCGAGGAAAACTCGAAGTGTGATCGCACAGTCGCGCTCTACGGTTACCTGCGTGGCACCAACTTCCCTGCTCATGGCGCCCGAGTTCATGTTCCTGGTGTTGGTGATCTGACTGTTGCCAATATTGAAGGCTTGCCCGATCCATGCCCAACTCCCTATATGGACCAGCAGATCGCCAAGGCAACAGGAAAGTCGAACAGGCGCAAGCTTGGCGAGCACCAAAAGCTGCTTTTCGCTCCCATGTCTGATGTTGGTGGTGTCCTGGTCGACAAGGATGCAGTTTACATCGATGTCAAGACCAATACCTTTGACCGAGACTCGGATGAGGATTCAGACGACGAGGAACGCCGGGGTCTTGGTGAGCACCTTGTTGTTGGCCTTCAAGGCGAGCGCAAGATGCTGGGTGAGGCTGATCAGGGTGTTCGCCTCTTCCGTGGCGGCGAGGCCTTAAATAAAGCGGATGACGATGAGACTGGCCGGAAAGCCCCACGTCGCGCCCGTGTGGCTGTACCTGAACAAGACGACATAGATATTCCCGAAGGATTCGATAGCGACGAGGAGGCCGATGAAGATATGGGCGAGGAGGATGTGACAGATGATGAAGGCGAACTCGACATGTCTGCGCCTGCAGACTTTGAAGCCCGATTCAAGGCCAAACAGAACGAAAATACTGGTGGAGAGGAAGAAGACATGGCTTTCGCTGACAGTGACTCTGACCTGGGCTCCATCTCTTCAGTCTCAGACCAGGAACTCGAGAGCGGTGATGAAGACGAGGATGAAGACGAGGATGAAGATGAAAATGAGGAAGAGGATGATGAAGAAGATGAGGAGGGCAATGTTCGATGGAAGGAGAACATGCTCGCCAATGCCAAGTCTCTTCACGGAAAGCGCCCTCCTTTCCGAGTCAGCGACCTGTCAAGAATGATGTACGATGAGTCGATCACCCCACTTGATGTCGTGAAGACATGGCGCGGTGAAGACTCCGACGACGAGGAGGAGGACGAGGAAGATAGAACCGCTGACGACGAAGGCGAGGACTTCTTCAAGAAGACAAACAATGAGAAAGAAGACCAAGCCGACTTCCGCGCCGTTCCAGAGTATGACTACGATGAGCTGGAGCGGAAATGGCGGGACGAGGAGTTGCTCGAATTAATCAAACTCCGCTTCATCACCGGCAAACTTTCCGGTGGTGCCTCAGATGATGAGGATGGTGATGAGGATGACGAGGATGACGATGAAGGTGACGGTGAATACGAAGATTTGGAATCTGGCGAAGTTTTCAACGGTATCAAGGAAGATGGCGATGAAGATGAGGATGAGGAAGGCGAAGATGAACCCGAAAATGCTGCCGACCTGGAAGCCGAGCGTGAGCGAAATGCCAAAAAGAAGGAAGAACTGAAGCTACGTTTCGAAGAGGAGGACCGCGAAGGCTTTGGAAAGGTTCAGGATGGGACGCATGATGGTATTGATGGCGAGTTCGGCGAAGACGATTGGTATGATCTGCAGAAAGCCAAGCTGCAAAAGCAGGCAGATATCAACCGCGCCGAATTCGAGACACTCGACCCTGCCTCGCGCGCCCGGGCTGAAGGTTACAAAGCCGGCACCTACGCACGTATCGTCCTCGAAAATGTGCCTTACGAGTTTGTCTCCAAATTCAACCCTCGCTTCCCTGTCATCGTTGGTGGCCTCTCGCCTACTGAGGACCGATTCGGCTACGTGCAGATTCGCATCAAGAGACATCGCTGGCACAAGAAGATTCTCAAGAGTAACGATCCGTTGATCTTCTCGCTTGGTTGGCGTCGCTTCCAGACCATGCCTATTTACAGTACATCCGACAGTCGGACACGAAACCGCATGCTTAAGTATACCCCTGAGCATATGCACTGCTTCGCTACCTTCTACGGACCTCTTGTTGCTCCCAACACCGGTTTCTGCTGTGTGAACTCGTTCTCGAACAAGAACCCCGGTTTCCGCATTGCGGCCACTGGTGTTGTTCAGAGCGTGGATGAGCACACGGAAATTGTCAAGAAGCTCAAGCTCACTGGTCACCCTTACAAGATCTTCAAGAACACCGCATTCATCAAGGACATGTTCACCTCTGCGCTGGAAATTGCCAAGTTCGAAGGTGCATCCATCAAGACTGTCTCTGGTATTCGCGGTCAGATCAAGCGTGCACTCTCCAAGCCCGACGGCTGTTTCCGTGCTACGTTCGAGGACAAGATCTTGATGAGTGATATTGTTTTCCTGCGTGCTTGGTACCCCATCAAGCCCCACCGCTACTATAACCCTGTGACCAACCTGTTGGATCAGGTCGATGGTGAAAAGGGTGATAATGGATGGCAAGGCATGCGCTTGACCGGTGAGGTCCGTCATGCTCAGGGTATCGCCACCCCCCAAATCAAAGACTCGGCTTACAAGCCCATCGAAAGACAAGCCCGTCACTTCAACCCGCTCCGTGTGCCAAGACAGCTAGCCGCCGATCTCCCCTTCAAGTCCCAGATCACCAAGATGAGGGGCCACAAGGATCAGACCTACATGCAGAAGCGTGCCGTTGTCCTCGGAGGCGAGGAAAAGAAGGCCCGTGACCTCATGCAGAAGCTCACTACCATGCGCAACGAGAAACAAGCTAAGCGATCCGCCAAACAGGAGGAGCGCCGCAAGGTCTACCGCGCTAAGGTGGCTGATAGTCTGGAGAAGAAGGCCGAGCGCGAAAAGAGAGAACGCAATGATTACTGGCGCAAGGAGGGCAAGAAGCGCAAGAACCCGGATGAAGACTCTGGTGGCCGTGGACGCGGCAAGAAGCGCAAGTGATCTATTCTTTGTTCTTGGACATGTCTTAATCTACTTGGGTCTTTTGCATAGATGGCGTTTGGACCCAAAACTTGTACCTACATTATGTTGGATGTCTATTTATATCAAAACTATTTCATGAATGCACTACTGTTTGCCTATGCTTTCTTCTCATTACCTCCCCCCTGCCGTCTCTACTGTGCTTTCTTTCCATACTAATGATGAGGCTGTTTTTCGCCGTCGGCTGGTCCCCGATGCCAGAAGTAGAATGGAGCACCTCAAGGTACATGACAGTTCCCAAAGCAAAGCAGGAAAGTTCTAAATGAATCAGGATTTGAATGTTCATACTCCCGGATGTGGCATAGTAGGTGAGGACCTAATCATCTTTCCATCATCCCCGACACCACAACAGGTAAAGAAACCCTAAATCGCAAAACTTCATACTCCATGCCTTATGAATTCCATAACAAGTTTAGTAGCACCTGTAGTCCTGTCTATATTACCCTCGCGAATTCCCACTGTCCTTGATTTCCCACTTTCCAACTACATCTATCTCCCATCAAGCTCCATCAAAGCTTCATCTTCATTCATCAATAAAACCTCTTTCCCAAATATCACACAACCGTTAGATATACATGGCTCCCCTCCCAAGCCTTGTCAACGTCAACACACTGTCTCCTCGGGTCAATAAATACGAGGTTGACTACCAGAAAGAAATCGCCCTCGCCAAACTACTTTTCGGGCTCATCATAGCAGCCTTCACCATCTTCTTGGGCTTCACAATGTAAGTATATAAGTCCACCATCCAATCATCCTAAAAAAAAAGTAACACTAATAGCTTTCTTAGCTATCAGAAGATGAAGTCCAAGTATAAGGAAGAATGGAAGCCCAAGCTTAAGCCTAAGCTTCGGGACTGCAAGGAGAAATATGAGGGCTGGAAGGAGAAGATGAAGACCTGGCATGGCCCCAAAGAACCAAGTAAGTTGATCCCCTCAACAATGTCCTTCTAAGGTTTGTCTTTGATACTAACTTTCCCTTCTAGAGACGCCGAAGCCTGCTCACGTGGCCGATCGCCCTGCTTCTAAGGCTCCGGAGGTCAACCAGATCACAAGTGATCTGACCCCGGATTACCTGAAGATGTCGACGGCGGTTATCGTCTAGGGGAGTTGTGTGGGGTGTATTGCTCAGTGCTGGTAGAGGTATGAAAGGCCTGCCAGACTGATGCCTGGATTGGATGCGGACTACGGAGGGAAAGGGGTTCTTGTTCCTTTTGTTTTCTTTTCTTCTTTTGGACTTGGACTTGGATCCATCTTTGCTTTCTCTCGGCTTATTCTTACTTTCCGCTGAGTTGTTTCGTTATCGGACTTGAACCATTGTTTCGGAGTATATATCCCATGACTCTATGATTTTGTATGTTATATCATTAATGAGAAATGCAAATTCATTTTCTATTTACTTCAACTTGTATATTGTAGTCTCGTAGATGTTGTGGTAACTAGTTGTTGGTATACTTCGAAGTATAGCCCATCGAATAATCCCACTTACAACCACCTTCGACCACCTTCGAGCATCCTCAACCATCCTCATCTCTAAATGACCATATACTGATGATTTAGGAATATACTCTTTCTACAGAAACGCATTGAATCCGATGAAATTGGTCTAGTAGCATCCACGTGACCGCGCCTCTCACGCGTGTTCCAAGACCAGTCACCCTGAACCCTCTACCCAACTACTCCACGGCTTTTTTTTTTGGCTAGCATATTGTGGCGCATCTATATTCAAAATTAGTTCTTACTACTCGCATTCTTTTATCCAAACCCCTGTCGGGCCCTTCATCCGCGGTTAAAATCACGGTGGAGAACCCCATTTGCCGCCTCGTGCTGTCGCAACCCTTGCGCGCGTGCTGATCGATCGCCACTCGATCGGGCAGATGCTCCTGGTTCCCACAGTACTCCCACGCGTTTTGTTGAGATCTCGACTGTTAGTTGCATCTAAATCATTTGATATATTGGACCTTCCCAGTCCCAACTCTCGATGCGGTGACTCGAGACGGGACATGCGTGTTGAGATCGTGCGGCCGCGTAAACTCGCGATTAAAGCTAGGTCGCGCGTATTTGCCAATTGTCGCTATCCCAGCATCTGTTAATCTTCCACACCCCATACTTGACCATGAATGACGATCGCGATGTGTCTAATCGCGGGGTGCTCCATGGGGAGGCCAGTGCGAACACCCATTCTGTGAACAACGCGACGTCTCCCGTGCCTCACCCCCCAATGCCTTCGGCCAAGACCCAAACCACACAATCACCGCAACCATTGTCACTACAAATAGATGGCTTGAACGCCGTTACTCTCGCTCACGGTGAGGGTAACCCGAACTCAGCCTATATCGAATCATCGGAGCGCGGCAGCGATACATCGGGCGATGGCCGACGACTAGACCTTTCTGCTAGCACCGTCACAGACTCCCTTTTCAGCCTTCCTGCATCCTCGACCAATGGTAATAATAGCCAGTCGACAGAGTTCGGTAACCCTCATACATTGAATGGACATACATCGAAACCGTGGGTGGATCGGGAGTTATTGGAATCCCAACTCGCCCCGCACATGCAGCCCGTGAATGGAGGCGGCTCAATAGATCGGTGGCAACCCTCGTTGGCACCTATCAAAGCCGGCAATGCTTCAATATCACCGCCGCCATCGCCAAAGCATTCACGCACAAGGTCGAACTTTGATGCTCGCTTGGCTCCAAGCCAGAAACGTACAGCGGCCGGCGACTTCAAATCCACTTTGGATATCCCCACAGCCCACAATGTCGATGTGAATGGAGCTGCACGACGCCGTTCGCAGAGTACGGGCTCGTCAGCTTATGGGAGTAGGATTGCACAGGTAACACGCCCGCCCGCCCCCTCAAGGATCTATAGCTCATTTGTATTACCCAGTTGTCGGTCCATATCCGTACACGTCTATCATACGCAGCCGCCAAAGTAGAACAGGCCCGACAGTCGCGTGAAGCTACTCCTCAGACTGCATTGCGAACACACAACAGCGCGTCGCCATTGAGCCCGTCGACATCAAGTGACATTGTATCATTGCCGGGAGGAAACTCCACACCCTTTTCACAAGATTCCCAAACATCATCCAACGGAAATTCTCATAATATCTCGAGCCATAACCGCTCGCGATCGGCATTTTCATCTAATCAATTCCTTCCAATTCCCAAGCTAGCACCGCCTGTGGATATCATTCCATCAAATGGTCATAACCAGCGCCGTCGACCGAATCCTAACGCAGTCTCCAAACCTTCAAACCATAGCCCTATCTCCCGCCACCGACGCCATCATTCACACCAAGAGAACGGCCTCGCCCAACCATTCAACGGCCAACCAGTCCTTGGACCAGGGACGCCCTCGCTCTCATCATCACACACATACGCCCCAACATCCACCCCAAACGGCTTCTACAGACACCGTACCCACTCCCAAAACACACTCATGGAACAAGACGCCATCGAAACCCTGATGTTCATGTCCAGCCCCGAGAACTCGGGGTATCGTTTCAGTCCTCGCCCATTGCAACCGGCGAGCACGCAAAGTAGCTTGAACGAGTCGATGAACACGTCTAGCAACGGAGCGCACCACGATGGAAGCCAGGGGTCCCAAAGCTCCGGGTCTCACAATGGTCGCGAGCCCAGAAAAAAACCAGGACTGGAAGCTCATGCTGGGGATGATATTGATCGCCTTTTGGATCAAATGGATAGTGATAGCGAGGATGAGGGTCGATATGCATCGTATCGTCCTAGGATTAACGGTGCACATCCATTTAGAGGACAACAACGCCCGAGGTAATTGCATTATTTTGACCTAAGATTTCGGGATTTTGCATGGAACACATGGCATGTACATCGCTTTAGCATTGAGGTTTTTTTAAGTTCCTGGCATAATCATGTTCAGATCATAGGATGCGTACGGTTGGTATGACTTTATTCATTTGCTATGATGAAAATTCAGGCTGGGTATCCTGAACTAGTTGATAATATGCATGTCGTTGTCTCTATATGATCCTCTATCCCAAAATACTATGATTAGATTACTTTTTGTCGTGTTCGTAGTTGGTATCCGCCGTGTATCATTTAATGTGCGAGCTCCTATCATTCTATTAGTCTCAGGCATTATACATTGAGGGAGGATATCACTTACACTTGCGAGCTTGCTCCTGGCTCGAATCTTGGGGCCGTATAAGGCCAGTACCCAGGGTACAAGAGTCAAAGCAGCACCCTATTTCGATCCAGTCAGTCTATTTTCTTCTTTTGGGGAGTAATCCCCACAACTTACAAGTCCTCCCAGCAGACTTGATGCCTGTGGATAACCCAGGTTGGTGAACATAGCATTGGTGACTAGTGGAAAGATACCACCGAGCATGTTCCGGCCTAGTAAGCAAGATATCAGCAAACATCCCAACACATACATACCCAGAACTTCATCAAGAGAACAAACAATCCGAGGAAATGAGAAAGAAAAAAAAGAACTTACAACAAGACTGCGCCGCAATCGCCGAACTCGCATACCGATGATAAGTATCCGCGAGGTAATTAAACGTAGCCAGATAAATCGAAAAGATGCCCATAGTCGCACAACCAACGGCCATAGCAGGCACGATCCAGTGCACAGACGAGAATGAACTCCAACCAAACCAGAACAAACCAATGGGCAGAAGGACAGATTCAATGCAGACGAAATACAGCCTGCCCTCGGGAGAAGTGGTGTGTTTACCGAAGCGCATGGCGATGCGTTCTTGGTAGATACTGATGACTGTGATGATGATAACGCCGACACACATGGAGGTAAAGACGGCGCCTGTTTGCTCGATTGTGAAGTTGTGGTTTGTGCGGAAGATCAGTGGGACGGAGCTAAATTGGAGGTAGAGGACGGCCCAGCTGAAGGAGACCCATAGGGCGAAGAAGAATACTACTGGTTCGGTGAGGAGCATGTCTGTGGTTTGGATGTTAGCATTTCCTTTTTCTCTTTTTCTTTCTTTTAGGATAGATGAGGGTTGATGTGGACTTACGGAATGGTCGGTACAGCGAGATCTGGATCATTGTTGCGATCGATGCTCGTTGCTCATCGCTCTTGACCTTCCATCTGATTCGACGAATGCATTTTTCTTCAGATGCCTCTTCGTTCACTAGAATTACACCGTGGTGGCCAGCCTCTTCCAGTTGCTCGTAGTACTGGTTCAACTTTGCAGCTTTGCGACTTAGAAGGACGCTGCCGCGCGTCTCTTTGAAGAAGAAGTAGATGATAATGACAAAGACGGCGGACACGATTGCGTGCGAGTAGAATACCCAGCGCCATGTGGTGTGCGTGATGATTGCGCCAGAGATCATTGGTGCCAGGCCAGTGCCGAACAATGCTGATCCCGAGAAGAGTGCCATGGCCGTGTTGCGATCTTTGGCATGGTAGATGTCACTGATCACGCCGCCAACCATGGTGGAGAATGTTGCTGTGAAGGTGAAGTTAATATCTATTGAGAGTTGAAAGGGGAAAATCAACCATTGGGACAGGCTATACATACATCCACCCACGCCCTGGAAGAAACGAGCTACAAGCAATCCAGCAAAGGACTGCGTCCCTCCGCAGCCAATTAAACTAGCTATTGGCATAAGTCAGCATGAACAAAGTAACACAGTGAAACAAGGTATACATACCAACGAAGAGAATCCCACTAGCGATAAAGATGGGCCTCCGTCCATTAATCTCGGAAAACGGAGCCAGCACCATCGGCGCCAGAGCAAACCCACAACAGAACACCGTGATACTCAGATTACACACAACCGTACTGATCCCCCACAGTTTAGTCAATTCCTCCGATGCAGGACTAACCTCACCCGCAGCATAACCCGCCAGCGCAGTAACCCCACAAGCGATATAAGTCATCATGGACTTGCGCCATTTCGGCCAGAGAAACGGAGATGCATATTTCTCTAAACTAGGCGGTTCTGGTGGTGGTGACTGAGCGGGGCCGGGTGGTAAAGTAATGCACGGGGTCGGTAGGGGTGTTTCCAGCTCTAAATAGCGATATTCGATCTCTTGAGATCCTCTCAGAGACTCGGCGGTCTCGTCGCGCTTTTCCATGGTTGTTGGTTGGGGTTTAAGTAAACCCGGCGTTGTAGATGCCATCTAGTGAGTCAGGATGATGTTTGGCAAGAGTTTTCCGGAGTCCTGACGGACTTTAAAATGATTTATAGGCTAAGCATCTAGGGCGTGGAGTCCAACCGAAAGAAAATTGGAGAAATAATGGATCAAAGGCCGAGTCATAATCGGAATTCCCCCCCCCATTTGATACATCATTCCAATCATGCTTATGGGATGAATGTGGAGCCTGTTGGTTGGATATACCCATGCAGTTAATAATGCTAGGACTTATTATGAGTTCGCATGCACATTGACCTTCCCAATTCTTCCCCAATCCAAGTGCCAAGTTGGGGACTTGATAATGCTCTTCCTGACCCTTGGCGTTTGGAGTCATCACCGCCTACTTAATATGTCCTAGCTTGGCTTACGTGTTTGAAGGGTTTTCACTTCATAGTTACATAGTACTTATAGGTATATAAGTATATAAGTATATAAGTATCAATATAATAGAATAAAATAAAATAAAGAGTTTGTCGTGTGCTATATACAATTCCTAGCAATACGGGGTTATACTTCTCCGCAAACAGACAGTCGATGGTAAATTTCTCCAAATTGGAGAAATTGGGGGATTGCGGAGTCGCGACCGATTCGACAGAAATGATTAACAATCAGTATGTTGTAGATGACCTCGGGAATCGGCAGGATGAACCAATCATAGCATGAGCTATGCAAGGCTACCAGATCGTGATATTCCAATCAATTCGAGTTGGTTTGTGTGCATGTGAACAGGGAATAGGGAACAGGGAACAAGGAACAAGGAATATGCCGTCCAACTCACCGGAGTTACGCTACATCCCCCCCGAGACCACAACTCCACGCCATGTCCATTCCCCAATGTTGAGTAGCAAGCCCTATCAGTGTCACCGATGCCAGAGGGCATTTGCTCGTCTAGAGCATCTCCAAAGACATGATCGTTCACGTATGTCTTCAACACCTTGAATCAAATACCCTCCATCTCATACCCTGTCTAATACCCCCACAGATACCAAAGAGAAACCGTTTGCTTGTAATCAATGTCCCAAGGCCTTTACACGCAAGTATGATACATACCCCAGCCTTTCAGGTACTTTTTTTTTCCAGATACTTACACCTCCAGGGATCTGCTGGCCCGTCATGAGCGTCTCTCTCACAACCCCGACGCCAGTCCAGCCAGCAACCAGACACACACACCTTCCCCCGCTAACCCTCCCACCTTGGAAGGGTTAGACCCCTTGGCATCTGTAGTTCCAAACCATACCCAGTCTAATCGCGCTTTACAAAGGCCCGATGACTCTTACCCATTATCGGGCGTACACCGCCCAATGCTAGGTCAGTTGGCTAGCACAGACGTCCCTTCTACAGGACCCACCACCCCATCTCCAGCCCCGGATTTCGGATATGCTCTAGGTGGCTTTGCACCCGGATCATATCATGGCCATGACTTCACCTCATTCTTGGATAGCGTCCCATTGCCAAATCATCCATTTTCGCCAGCTTATCAGCCACTCCCGCTATTTCCACCTTTGCACTTCTCCCCAGTTCCGGACTATGATCAATCTTCGGATAGAGGGACTCTGACTGAAACTACTCCTTCGACTCCTTCGAGTTCTGTGCTTCCCCGACATGGTGCTCAGTTACCATCGCTCCAGCCGGAAGGGTATCACATCTCCCCCAAGGCGCGTCAGCCCACGGGATTCGTACCTGTCACGGCTCAGTGCCGGGAGAAGTTCTTGGATATGTTATCCGACTATGCCAATGTGGTCCCAGATCCATCACTGCCATCTCGACATGCACTATCCCGCTGTTTGACCGGGTATATAACTGGTTTCCATGAGCACTACCCAATTGTCCATCTCCCGACTCTCGATGTAGACTCGATGACATTACCACTCTTCTTATCAATGGCGGCATTGGGTGCACGGTATTGCCGCGAGCCGGACACTAGCATGCGTCTCTATCAAATTGCCAAACCAGTCACTTTGGAACATGTTCGTCGGGTGTTCCAGTCGGGCAAGCTGTCCCCGACGAATGTGGCCGACGACATTGATGCCCTAGAAACTCTGCAATCTTTATTGTATCTGACCTCGGTGTCGCTATGGTTTATTAACAACCCTCCATACCATGAGGGGCTGTCGCTTCGCAGTCTAATGGAAATGCTCATGCGCAAAGGAGGACTCAACCAACTACCCGAGCAGGACGGGACATGGACTAGCTGGATACGCCGGGAAAGCGTAAAACGCACCAAACTAATTGTTCTTTGTTTCTTCAACATCCAAACCATCGTCTTCGACGTCCCACCAATGATCCTCACGGAAGACTTCACAATCGAATTACCCAGCACCGAAAAAGAATGGCAAGCCACGCACGCAGACCTCTGGCAGACAGAGCGCCTGAAGAGTCCCGGCGAACCAAAATTCCAAGATGCCCTTTCCGCCCTATTTGGACCAACCAGCAACGCAGAGCGCTTCTCCTCCCTCGGAGGCTACGTTCTAATCCACGCAATCCTCCAAGACATCTGGCTAATGACGAAAGCGGGCCGACTACCCGTCTCGCGACGAAACCGCTTCTCCCCCTCATCAATGACATCCACTCCGGAGCTCGTCCATGTCGAACAAGCACTAGAACGCTGGTGTCAGTGCTGGGAACGCAACCAAGAATCCTCCGTCGACCCACTCAGCCCGAACGGCCCGCTATCTTTCACATCAGCAGCCCTACTCCGACTCGCCTACATCCGACTCAACGCAGACTGCGGCTCAGCCCGCCAGCTGCAAACCTGGGACCCAGTCCAAATCGCAACGAGCCTCCGCGACAATCTCTCCGTCCGACGCGGTGACCGTCTCACGCGTGCAGCGCTCCACTGCGCACATGCCCTCAGCACACCCGTCAAACTCGGTATTGGATTCGTCGCGCATTCGCAGGTGGCGCTGTGGTCGAATCAGCATGCTTTGTGTTCCCTGGAGTGCGCGGTGCTGTTGGCGAAGTGGCTCGAGGCGATTACGGTATCGGATCCGGAGCCGGGGTTGACGGAGCAGGAGACTCGATTGCGGGATTTCGTGCTTGAGATGGTTATGGAGGTGCAGCATGGTGTTTCAAGGGAGTGGTTGCTTGCTACTAATACTCGGCTTAGTGCTGCGGTTACTAGGTTGTGGGCCAGGCTGTTTACGGCAGATTATATTTGGGAGATGGTTGCTTTGATTGGGAGGTCTTTGGATAGTTATGCGGATTTGCTGGAGCAGTAGAGTTGAGCTTGGCGTTGTGCTTGCACGAGTTGTTATAGTGCAATGTTAAGGCCAATTTGGGGCTAACTGGGGCGAGTTCAGGGCTAATTGAACGGCTACTATAGTCGTATAGTAGCTACCAGACAAGGGCTGTACTTGAATCATATTGCTCATGTCGGTTAGACTCGGCTCTTCGATTGTTCTTGCTCAGCCGTGTCTGACTCCAACGTCCCCCACAGGGCGTGTTTTGTACATCGTACGGACTTTGTACAGGGCTCCCCGATGACTCACTGGATACTTATTCGGCCTTAGACATCGGGGTTTGAGGACTTTCTGAAACGACCCCATTTACCTAGACCAGTTCTCCAATTCTCCAATCCTGATGCCCAATGCCTAATGCCTATTTTCTCAGGTCCTCCTAGCTAAGATCAGACCTCGGTAGTTCCTTGGGCTACGCTGTTCTTCTTCTTTTTCTACTCCTCCTCCTTCTTCTCCTCTTCCTAGTAGCCAACACATACTTCCCCCTCAACAACCCCAAATCCCAAATAACAACCAATCCAATCCAAAATGCCCCCTCACCCCTGATAACCTCCCCAGAAACCCTTACCCTCCTAAAAGACCTCCACACCAAATCCCTAACCCAAGAATCAACCGTGGACTGGCACGCCCTCCCGCAACAATGCAGCCCCGAATTCGACTCCATCATGCTGGACAAGTTCATCGCCCTCGACCAAGACAAATGCGAACTAGTCTACCACATCCTGCGCAGCATCAACGCCAAAACAGTCGTGGAAGCCGGTACCAGTTTCGGCGTTAGCACTATCTACCTAGCGCTTGCTGTTGCGGAGAATGCGAAGCGCGTTAGCGCTACAACTAAACCCCGGGTTATCGCCACGGAGAAAGAGGAGTCCAAGGCCGAAGTGGCAAGAGCGCATTGGGCGAAAGCTGGTAGGGAGGTTGAGGATGTTATTGAGCTTCGTGTTGGGGATCTGCGGGAGACTCTTACTGAGGATTTGGGGACTGTGGACTTTTTGTTGTTGGATAGTAAGTTGGTGTTTTATTTTCTTCGCTGGTGCAGATATAGACATATACTCTGCACATGTCTGTTCGAGACCCTGGTTATTTTGCATTCGACTTTGCATACTTGATCGATGGCTAGTGATACTGGCGACATCTATACTAACCACTATACCTAGTCTGGACCCCTCTCGCCCTCCCTGCGCTGAAGCTCGTCCAGCCGCATTTCCGACCTGGTGCGGTCATCATCGCTGATAACACAGTCAAGGCGGGTGATAGGTACCAAGAGCTCTTTGCGTATGTTGATGCCGAGGGTAGTGGGTTCCGACGAGTGACGATGCCATATGAGGGTGGTTTGGATATGATCGTTTATCAGTAGATGTAGTCTTTTGAACTCACCCAAAGCAGTATCTGCAGTACCCTATTGCTAAAGATACCAATTCATGCTGGATCTATTCCAACATCCATGTACTCAGTGTTCTCTTTGATAGGCTAAACGGGATCCGCAATGGAGTATCAACCCCTCATTCAATTATTTCCCAATTGATATCCTTTTATGTTCGTTATATCTCACCAATTAATACAATCCATTCAATTCCACAAAACCCATACATAAATTCCATCTATAACACATCACATATCCACAATGTCCTCAAACCAATTCCACCTCCCCCAAGAAGAGGGCCATTTCAACGCAGCCCCAAGCCTAAACCCACCCCCAACACCAGCAACAAAAGACTACAAACTAAACCACCTAGCCATCCGAATCCAAGACCCATCCCGCTCACTGCATTTCTACATCAACCTCCTAGGCATGCGCGTAATCTTCACCATGAACGCCAGGCCTTTTACGATCTATTATCTCGGACATCCGCCGGCAGATGCAAAGACCGAAGAAGACATTACTGCTTGGGCGAAGACTACGAGTGAAATCCCCGTTATGACGAAAACAAGCGGACTTCTGGAATTGTATCATGTGCATGGTACGGAGAATGCGGGTGCAGATGGTGGTGTTGCTACGGGGAATGTACCCCCGCATCTTGGATTCGCGCATTTAGGATTCACAGTTCCTGATGTTCCGGCTGCTGTGCAGAGATTGAGGGAGGGTGGGGTTAGGATTCTTAAGGATGTGGGTGTTTGTTCGAGGGAGACAGTGCCGCTTTCCGAGTGGGAGGAGGAGAGGGGGATTGGATGTGGGGAGATTCATGGGAATTATGCGTGGTTTTTTGAGAAGTTTGCTATGGTTTCTGATCCAGTGAGTTTCTATACCTTCCTGGATAGGCAGGGTGGTGTGCTGTGGTGCTGATGTGAGTTGATAGGATGGATATACGGTCGAGTTGATTCCTCAGAGCGTGTGAGGGTCTACTGTTGTACACTCTACGATTGTAGCACGGTTTGTTTTAGACAACAGGTCGGGAATGGAAGGAACATCCATCCCGTTAAAAAAATTGCTTAATGCAGCCTATACAACCAACATAAGATGGTAGACGAAAGTTACCGAAATTACGCGCCCCAGCTATCATCCTCCGCAACGTCGTAGTCCATATCCCGCGCAGGAGCGGTGTTGCCCACCGACGTGGACGACATGACTGTGTCTTCCGGTTCGTCTTGACCAAGCCCACCCTTGAATTCCGTTGATGACCCAGCGGTAGGAAGAACAATGGGAGGGTTGGCCACCCAGCTGAGCTGGACCTCGCCCACGGAAGGGATATTCCAGGGGGAGAACATGAGCTTCTCAGCCTGGAAGCGCTCTTTGAATGCCACCACGACGGAGTTGGGCTGGTCTGGGTGTGCCTCAATCGATTCGTATTCGCCAACGCCCTGGAACATAACAAATTAGTACACGCCATGCTTGGTCGGAAAGATACATGACTTACCATCAGGTGCTGGCGCAATGCTTCGTCCTTGTCTGAGTTGAGCTCAACGCCCGATACGGCGACTCGTCGAGGCCGGTTATCCAGACGCAGCACACCTCCTCGTCCGCGAGACCCAAACCCACCACGCCCACGGTATCCTCCGCGGAAATTGGGATCATAAGCGCCGCGTCCGCGGTATGTGCCCCGGCCTCGGAAGCCACCACGACCACGGTATCCACCCCGTCCTGAAGGGTCAGCCGCAGGGTCTAGGCCAAGGCTCTTTGCCTCGGCCTCGAGGGCAGCGAGTTGAGCTCGCAGCTGTTTCGTCTCATCACTGATATTCTCATCGGCGGCAGGCTCGGTGACCATGGCATCCCCAGTACCGGCAGCATCGCTTGTGTCTGCTGTGGCTCCGAGTCTCTGCATGAGGCGGGCCCGCTCCTCCTGCTGTTTCTTGAGAAGTTCATCGCGCTGGCGCTCTAGAGCCTGCTTGGCAGCTTCAGTCTCCTGCCGCTTCTTCATTTTCTCCTCGTGCACCCTCTGTGCTTCTTGTTGTTGCTTCTCGAACTCTTCTTGGTTGAAGGCGGGTGCCTCAGGTTGTGCGCTTTCAGACTTTTCCTCGCGATTCGGTTTGTACCAGTAAACCTTCACGAAGCGGTTGTCGAAAATGACCTTGGGACTGGACCATGCGGCCTTGGCTTCGGGGAAAGTTTCGTATTTTACCAGAGCGATCTTTTTGTAGGGTTGCAAAGAGACCTCGGTAATGTTACCAAACTCAGAGAAGAACTCGCGCACAGAATCCTCGTTGAACTTGTCATCGGGAATCTGCTCAACAACAATAGTCGTAACAGACTGGTCCTCATTGGGTCCTGCCGATGAGAAATCGGACCGGCCGCGTCCTCGTCCACTGAACCCACCTCGCCCACGGCCACGGCCACGGTCACCGCGCGTGGGAGCACCGCCCCGTTGCGCATGCATACCCGCGGTCTTTGGGTCATATTCTGCGACTATTAGCAATAGTATATCGAGGATGAATGAATTTCTCTTACCATCATCTTTCGAGACACCCCCCTCGCCGTGTTGGTAAGGGCAGGTGTTTCCTAAGTAACAGATACCTTGGGTATCATAGAACGGACATCGCTGGCTGCTTTGTGGGATCTGATCGGCTCCTGGCTGACCGGGAGGACCAGGCATCCCGGGCATAGGCATTCCCGGCATCTGCGGGAATCCCATACTTTGCATAGCCATCATTGCTGCCATAGGATCGTTCGGATCGAAGGGCGGGAAACCAGGCATCATGGGGAAGCTACCGGGCTGTTGTGGAGGGAATGGCTGGCCCTGTTGCTGCGGAGCGAACATTTGACCCTGTTGCTGTGGGGGATATTGTTGACCCTGTTGCATCTGATGCCCACCCATGAAGTCGCCACGACCACCTCCGCGCGCGCCGCGTCGAGCAGTCTTCATAGCGCGATTCTGGAACCCACCATCCTCGCGTTCTGGCTCCCCTTGGAATCCCTCGTTAAAAGTTCGTTTGCGGTTAGCACTGCCGGGAGTGACAGCAGCCCTCGGGCCACTGGGGGCATTCTCAGGAGGTTGTGATGAGGGAATGCGGGCAGCAGGTTGGGGCTGGCGCTGAGGCTGGGGTACAGGTGCCGGTGGAGGCGCGGGCTGTTTGGGACCGAAGGTTGTAAAGAGCTCGTTGACAAATGGTTCCGTGTCTATTAAGTGTTAGTCATATGAAACAATTCAATACGATCGAGACATCAGACGCACGTTCGCGCAGGAAATCCTCTAGGTTTTCCACCGAGACCTTCTTTATTTCGTCGGCTGGCGCATCGGACCTAACTAGCGCCAAAACATAGTCTGCGAGCACATCGGAGTCGGCATCAGAGCTACAAGCGAGGAGCACGATTAGTTGTTGCTTTCTTTTCCGAAGTCGTGTCAAGGTGCCTGATCAACTCACATGTCCTCCAGTTTTTTGACCACCCATTTCTTCACGTCAACGGCCTCCGCGTCAGTGAACTGCATGGCGAAGATTATTTTCAGCCAATTTTAAACTGCGATAATTGAATTGGGTCGGACGAGAGATTGACGTGAAAGTGACGATGATTGCAGGGATTCGGTTTCAACAAAGCCGTCACTCGGGAGGATTGCTGCGTGCACAGTGATAATCCTATGTGGGATGAAATCACAGCTTTGCGTTTTAAATAACAAAGCTTGAGGATGAGCTATTTTAAGCTGATAAGCATTCACCCCCAACCGTGAGGGAACGGAAGGACATGGCTGGGGACGCGAAGGCGAGGGCAAAAACGCGAGTACCGGGAGATCACGTGCTTCTATGACATAGGACAATACTGTGCAATTTCCTGGAGTACACTATTAAGGATTGCGATTGTTCATCATTTTGTTTGTGTTCTTCGTTTTCTGGTTTTTACAATTACTCATAACTACGAATAAACAGCTGTGCCTAGCATACCCAAGTTTATTTTCATATCGAAACTGGTTGCTAGACTACAGCAAAAACGCAAAAAGCAAAAAATACCTTCGGTATAAAACCAAATGTGGAAACAGCAGTGAAAGAACAGAACCAATGATGGCCAGAGGCTTCAAGGCTCATGCCCGGATTTCTAAAGACGGAACGATTGAAGCAAATACCGACGAATGAGGGAATAAAATTTTGTTGAACCGAAGAAATTGTATTGAATTCATCAATCTCATGAAAGATTCCACGAATGACTGGCAGAAGGGAAATTCTGGGTGACCGTGAACATTTTTACAGCTTGTCGTAGTACTATAAAATGAGGTTAGTGACTGGGACCAAGAAGGACAGTGAGCAAAAAGACTTACGTTTTCGTAACCGGGAACGACCTCCTTGAGACCCTTGCGCTTGCGCATCTCCTGGACGACCTGACCGGGCTTGCTGGTGGGGTCGAGGGGAGAACCGCCGGGGAGGATGCTCCAGTGATCGAAGACGGACTGGGGGAAGGCCTGGCCACCGGTAGCGGAGCGGAGATCGGCAGGGAAACCGAAGGACTCGTTGACGGGCAAGTAAGCCTTGACCATGAACAGAGGAGTACCAGGACGCTGCTCCTCGGTGTAGACGTGACCACGGCGGCGGGTGAGGACACCGTAGATACCACCCATAGCCTGCTCGGGAACCTGGATCTCGACGTTGAAGATGGGCTCGAGGAGACCGGGGTCGGCCAACATAGCAGCGGCGTACAGAGCACGACGAGCAGTGGGGATAATCTGACCACCACCACGGTGAATAGCATCAGCGTGCAGGGTAACATCGAGGATGTTGAAGCGGACGGAACGCATGGGCTCCTCGGCAACGGGACCCTCACGGGTAGCCCACTGGAAACCGGAGACAACGGAATCCTTGATTTCGTTGAGGTACTGGACGGCCTTGGTCTGGTCGATGAGCAAGTTGGCACCGGTGGTGTCGGGACCGAAGCACCAAATCTTACGGGCATCGGTAACATCCCAGCCGTACTCGTCAGCAAGGACACGGGCACGAGCC